ACTGTTTATGTTAGAAGCAATGATGATTGGGAATCATAATTCACACTAATATAAATGGAAAGAGTTCACATACTTTCCCAAAAAAGCATGGCACTGGTTTGCCACACTGACTTAGTGGCCTCAGAGCACTCGCTTTCCCTGGAATCTATTCCTGATCCATCCATTTTCTTTACGATGCAGCTGAAAGCACGCTGTCGGAGAGGAGCCTCAAGGCATCCCGGGGGAAAGCCTCTCTTCCACCTTCAGATACAAGCAAGTTCTTAGAGAAGGGAGACACTCCAGCTCTCTTCCCCACATCTCACAACGAACTCCCCAAGTTCAATAAACAGGCAAAGAGCTGCCATTGCCTCCGGTTAAGAGTGCTTGAGTTTGCTACGTGGAAGCAAACTGCATTCTGCTCCCTGAGCTGCTTCTCCACAATGAATTTGGGAGCAGGGAGGGACCGGAGCCAGGGACCCATCCCACTCTCACCCATGGCTCGCTCTGGGTTCGTGGGAGAAGCCCTGGATCCCAATGGAGGAAATACTCACCTGTTTGCAAGAAACTCTCAGTCTCTGGGGGAACATGTAAATAAGTGCAATTAAGTCATTAAATGCCAACTACAAGGTAAGAGCAGTTTCTGGTTTCTGAAGCTCTTTCAGCTAAAGCCTAAGTTATGGACTAGCTGAGCCCAAAACTCTGTACAACTGCACCAACAAAATGTGAGGTCTTCCCTCTTCTGCTTGGATGTTAAGTCACCAGCTCCTGCAATCTCTGAGGCTACTCAGTCCTGAGATTACTTCATCTCCCCAGTGACAGCCAGGAACTCTGCAATAGTTCACCCCCTTGCTCCTGAAATGCTTCTCACTGAAGTCAGACCTAATTAGTGCAGGAAAGCACAGAGAATTACAACACCACAAGGTGACTGAAATGGCATTCATTATTGATTTACCATCCGTTTCTACAGTGCCATATAAAGTTAATTAAATTTCAAAACGCTGCTTCTACCACAGAAAGAAGACAAAGCTGTGCAATACAGTATTTGTTTTATCACGAAACAACTGTCCTGCTAGTTTGGACAACGTATGCAGTATATTTTAAGGAGCTCTGCATTTACCATCCTCACCATGTTCTCCTGTGCACAGTCATTTGTCAGTCAGGGGACATACCAGCAGCCTTTCCTCCCCCAGGCCAAAAAGTCAACAGTTTCCCCAAGAAGGATGGTCCAGCATTCAGGCTATGCATGCCCAAACATATGCATGGCCAACTCTGCATGCTCCGTGCGACCACAACGTTAGAGCAGGACTGAACTATTCAAGAATGAGTTGACCAAGTTACATTCACAGACTTGGCAGGCATCTCTGCACGAGCTAATAGTCCTCTCCGAGATTCCCTGAGCACTGTTCTGTGTTAATGTGGTTAAATAATTTCCAGATAAGGTGGGCATCCTTGTCGTTACCCAAATGCAGATTTCATACTCATTTGCATTCAGGCTGGAAGACACCTACATGCTTGGCTTGCATTGCATATCTAAAACACCAATGAAAGTCTGCAGCTATTATATCCCAAATTGGTTGTATGTGTACAGAAGTGACTATGCAAAGATGAAGAACATCAGCAACGTTTAGCATTTTCCACAGCTAATTACACGCTTCGCTCAGTACTGCTAAAAATTACTTCTTGGATCAGAGTAGTTTACACCCGTCTTGTGTAACTGAGGGCATACAGGGCAACAGAAGATTGGCATCAGGTTTTAAAATTCGATCCAACTTTCCCATCTCATACCAGGCCCATGAGAGAATTTGAAATAGGGTACTGCTATGTGATTGTTTACTCAGGAAAAGTTGGCCCAAGCAAGGGCAAGGGCAGGCTGTTGTACAGATAGTATAAATTGTAAAACCATAAACGCTTAAGTGATTATTATGCAGCAGTCAAGTGAGCATCACTTCCCTTACTTAAATATCACCATCTCCTCATTTTGAAGCTTGCTATGGTCTAGTCTTGTTCTTTTATTGGGCGATTTAAAATGTAACCAAATACGGGCATGTAATGTATGCCCGATTTTGATTTGCCATAAACTAATTTAATGCACTTGCGATGCCACTGGCTCCTGATAGAGCTGCTGTAGCATTCACCTAAGGCAGGAACCAGCTCGTTCAATAGAGAGGGAAGTATGCAAATTTTGCTACTTATAATTTCTTTCTGCAGAGGGAATGAATCCCAAGTTAAATCTTAGGAAGAAACACTGCTAAATTTTGGAGAAATCTGCGACTAGGATTGTTCTGAGCTCAATATTTACTTCAACTCTTCAGTGAAAAATTGTGTATTGGGACTGAAAAAAAAGCCCTAAACCAGTCACAAAAAGGCTTTAAGAAACACATTTGAGATAAATCTCCTAAGCCTTTCACATTTTCTCCTCTGCAAGGAAGGCTACAAATTAGCTTTCATGTAAATAAAAATAAAATTCCCACAAGCACAAGAGTTTTTTTAGACTCATGATAGCATCACGAGACTTCGCAACATTGATGCTTCAGAAACATGAACCCTTGAAATCAAATCCAGGCTGTTCCTGTGGTTTGAAATTAAAGTCAGGGAAAAAAGTTTGTCTATAGTTAAAAGCATTTTATCAGTCGCACAGACTTTCAGTGACTGCACACACCAGCCCCGCAGGCAAGATAGAGATAAGTGCAATAGCTCAACCTCAGAGCTTGATTAACCTTTTTTTTTTTTTTTCATATCTTCCAGCACAATCTCCATCTTCCTCCGAGGTACTGAATGTTCAGGCTTCAAGGGAGCAGAAAGCCCTGACAAACCACAGCTTATCAGCACCTCCTCTGTTCCTAATTCCCCTGGACTGCATCTCTTTAGCTGCTATAACCAGAAAACAGGAGGCAGCAAAAGGATGGCTATTGAAATTCATTCCTAGTGTTAACTAGGTGCCACTGCTTTTGATGTGAATGGAAATTGCACCTGCCCTCACCAAGACTTGATTTCACTTCAGCATTGGAAGCACACAACTCTTTTCTACTGTTTTGGTTTAAGAACTTCTCAGGGAAGTTGAGAAGATATCAGTGATTTGAGCTGTTTTATAATCCCTAGCTTTACAGTTACAAAAGATAATCATCCACCCTGCACAGGGTAATTTATTCAGGCACCTAACTGCTCCCTGATATTTAGAAACTCTTTTTCCCTTACCTTTCCAGCTTGTCTACACTAGCAGTGAGCGTGGCTCAGCAGGAGCGGATCTGGAGCATGAACGAGGAGGGGCTGCTGAGGACCCCGGATCCGCACCGCACGTGTTTCTGAGGACCCTGGATCCGCACTGCACGCGTTTCGGGGCGCAGAGCCCTCGGAGCCAGCCCAGCCCGTTAGTCCGGACCGCAGTACAGGAGGTGCACGCCTGGGGCACAGGCAAAACCCCAACCGATGCAGCCCCTGCTTTGTGCACCTCAACAAGGACCACAGTGGGGTGAGCAGCAACAACTGGGAGATCTGCTTCGACCCTGCTTTGTGCACCTCAACAAGGACCAAAGTGGGGTGAGCAGCAACAACTGGAAGATCTGCTCAAAACCACACTGCCAAATCAAACTGAAATGCTAAGATAGATGTCCCCTATGCCATCACCATTTCTGTAGCATGACTTCTTCATCACACCTTCTCGCCGCACAAATCTCAGGGAAAGCCTCACTCCCTCCACATCCTACGCACAAAGGCTTCATTCCCCCTCCTGAAGCTCCCTACTTAGTGATCTCAGAGTGAATGGTGGCTACACAGAGGACAAACTGTATATTATATTATATTAATTATATTAGATTGCCTGGGCCATCAGCTTTGGCATTCAGAGCAACCCTCGTGGAGTCTGCCCACACCACCTTATTTCCCAACAGGCTTGGTCTTGTTTCCTTCTCCG